TGATAAGAGAGGCTTGACACATCGCTGAGGCATGATAATGTGCAGGGAGAATGACTTCTTGCGGTTGCCTTCAGCCCAGCGTGACTCCGCCTCCATCAGAGCCGACCTGCTGCGAGCTGTTGGCCCACTTCCCTGAGAGCGGGGTGCGTCCTGATTCTGAAAAACCCACTTTTCCTGGCGTGAGTCCTCCTAACCCAGAAAGTTTCTGTATGCTGGGAGTTCCAGTGGGATCTTTGCCTGCCAGACTCATTATAACCTCCACACACACCTCCTCCTCTGGCCTGTAGTGACCCAGAAACTCCATGTGGGTCAGATCATACTCTGAACCCTCCACTCCATCCTGATTGAAAGACAGAGTGAGTGTTTCCATTGTTATTCAGTCAATTGTTTCACCACCCGTGCTTTTCTTCCCTTAAGAAGACAACAGCTGCCTTTCTTCTCCACCACCTTGTTTTGTTTCCTCCTGTCTGTCCCTCTCTCATACAGAGCCAGACTCAAATCTCCCAAGAACAGGCGGATCTGTTCCCACACATTCATCTTCATTGCCAGCATCTCACACAGTCTCTCTGAGGACTGACTCAGGGCCAGCGGCTGCCTCTGCTGCCATCTTCTGTCCAGACATTACATCATGCAGACCAACTCACTCAGAGATGGGACTTTCAAGTTGTTTAATTTTAAATTGTGGCTTCCTTCCTTATTACTGATGTGCTCTTTGACCTCGGAAACAAGACTGAATTAGCATTTATTTAGGTGGTAAGATGATTAGCTCAAAATGCTAACGAGTGTAGCTTCTGTTACAGCCATTGAACACACTTTTGATAACTATTCTTACATTTCTCCTTGAATAAATGCCAACTCCATCTTGTTTCATGATGCTTCCCTTTTCTCCAGTTGACACATTGTTTTAAAATGTTCATACTCGCTTTAGATATTTGACTTCTGAGCTATAACTGATCCTGTGTTCTCTAAGCGTTTGGCACAACTTTGGTTAGAATCCTATTAAACCAAGCACTTCAAAATTCAATTTCCCAGAAGCCATTTCTCATTCAGCCTTGACAAATTAGCATGGCTCATTCCCATCATGTCACTGGGCTGGATTGAACATGACAGGAACACGGTACAGCTGTTCTCCTGTCAGCGCAGACACAGGTTGCTTAGAGAGGTGTTTGTCTCTGCTGGTTGAGATCTTCATGTCTTGTAAACATATGGAAACAGGAGGATAACATAATGATTCAATTGTTATAAAGAATGCATCCATCTTGTTTTCACTACATTGTCCCCCAGACGACCCCCCCACCCCACCCCACCCATGCTGCTGACAGATTGGAAAGGCCGCTCCTAAAGCAGCATTGAGGGACAACTTTAATCCCAGCAGCACTGTAATACTGTATGAAGGGGGATGCCATACCCTTGTTAGTAGATTGACCAAAATACTTTCCCCATTGTTAAACTGCCACCCCCCCCTCCCCATCCCCTAGTAACAGAGAGATTGAAGGTGTTAGGTGTTAGTCTGTCTGATTCACTGATCATTACTCTGACGGATGTTTGAGCAAATCTCTCTATAAAAATCAATATCTCTGTGACGGCTCCATTTCATTCATTCACGTCATTTTTTTGCAGCATACAGTACTCTCTGTCCTAATTGGAAAAAATATGTTTAAAAGTTGCTGAGAAAAAGAAAGCCACTAAATGTATATGTGTAGTGATAAATCTATGGCGCTGTCCTTGGTGCTGAAGAAGCAGACAGATATGAAATTGCAACTTTTTCTCTGAGTCCCTCCCTTCCTGAGTGACGACAGGAGAGAAATCAAAGGAGGTGAAGAGGTGAAGAGCAAAGGAGTGAAGTGAAATTAAATGAGGAGACATGGAGAGGAGGAGGGGAAAGAAACAGAGAAGGCGAAGAGCGGGAGGTTTAGTAAAGAGAAAAGTGCTAATTGAAGAGAAAAAGAAATACGTTTATATGTCAGCTTTCTATCCTGACCATAGAATCACTAACAACCCTACAGCCAGATGTAGCAAGGTATGATGGGTAATCGTGAAGTGGTAATGGACCTGTGGGGCGTGATAACAAGGAAGACATGACACACAAACACGATAAAGGGTTGTCAGTGTTGATAAATCCTACAATTTTAAAACCAATCTAGCCCCCCACAGCCTCACACACACTCCGACACACACACACACACACAGCCCGGAGGACGGATAAATCAAGTGTCATTGGCTGAAGATGGAATGCTTTTTGGTATAAATTGCAAATCATAATGAAAAATGCAGAGCCAAGGAAACACCGTCTATCTGTTGTCAAAATAAAAATCACAATAAAGAAATGTTAAATGTTAGGAGTGAATCTGGTCTGGATCACAGCTGGTAGACGTAGAGGAGAAGTCAACTGAAGGTAGTGACCTCCTGCACACTCGGCACTTTCTAATGAATATAATGCTGACAGTGCGTGGGAATCTTTATGGAGACAAAACACAAGGAATAGGTAAAGTAACATATTGTCTTTTAAATCAGGATTTATCAAGAAATAATCAAATGCTTATTTAGACGTGTAAAATCTGACTTACTATTCTGATACTATCTTATAGTATAATGTCATTATTTTGTACCAATAATAACATATGCACCAGTTAAATGAAGTGACATGTTTTTATGCACACATTACACCACACACTCGACTACGGCATGTTTGAGGTGTTGCCTATGCACACCAGAGACAGACAGATTTAGCTGCTGACAGACAGACCATACGAAGAGCACAGTGGGTGGTCAAATATGACACAGGGGGGGACATGAGGAGTGGTGGGGGGGGGGGGCATAAAAAAGACAAAATGTGAGATATACTGAGAAGTAAATCAGAGAGAGGAGATACAATGGGGGGCAAAGGGGTAACAAGAAGAGGGAGAGGGTGAGGGAGAAGCAATGGAAGAGCAGTTTGGAAGGGGACAGTAAGAAAAATAGAAAGTGAGAGGTGGGGGGGGGGGCACAGTAACCCCCCAGGCCAGGCTATCTGACACCGCACAACAACCTCCATCAGGCCAGCTGACCGCTATTTACAGCATGAGGTGACCCGGCAGGCGGCAGCTGTACATTGGGGGGGGGGGGGGGGGGGGAGACACACACAGAGACAAGAAATAGTGCGAGAGAGAAGGGGGGGCTTTATTTATTCATTAACCCTTTTTTTGAGACTCAAGAAGAGAGGGACTGAGTGAGGAAGCAGTTCCTGTCCCAGTCACACTGAGTGGTGCAGGAATGAGTCCTAACACCGGGAATGAGTTAGCATTTGAGCAAAAATGTAACTCAGTTAACACCACTGACGTAATGCAACTGTTATGTGGTTCGTTTATAGCATAGCATTAGCTTTCTGGCGTCATAAGTTATTAAAGTAGTGTAAATATGTTAGGATTATCCTTCAAAACAAAACTTTTAAGCAGCAGAAATGTTTGTCTGCCACAGTTTATTTTCTAATCCATTCATCCTTGCACTACTCTATTTGTATAAAAAGATCCTTGACCCCACTGTCCATCTGTCTGTCTCTGTCAGTCTGTCAGTCTGTCAGTCTGTTAGTCTCTGTGTCTCACCACCCGGTGGACCATTCCAGGACATACAGTATTTACAAGCGCTATATTGGGAAATCAAACCTCTGCGGCCTCTAACTCATCTCAGCACGCTGCGAGACACTCAGTGTCACGGCCACACAAACAACACTTTCACCCAGAGCACATTCAGCCTGGGCGAGGTGGAACTGACAGGAGCCAGGGAACTAGGTCCTGATTTTTTACAAAGAAGCAAGGACACAGAGGACTTCGCTAAACTAAAGGGACATTCTGAAGTCAAAAGGACGCTTCCTTTTCTTGAAACTTCACTCCTTTTCAGGAAAAAGTATTGTAATCTTTGCACACCAAAATGTGTCCAAACAAGGCCTGAATTCAGATGCATATTAGCTGCTCAACCAAACACACATTTATAGTCTAAACACATGCTTTCAACTCAATAAAGACAGAAACAGTTTGTCCCAAATTGGTAAAGTTATCCATTCTACAATATAACAATCACTGCCCGACCCCACAACATTATATCCAACTTAAAAAGGGCCCAAAGCCCAACTGTTTACTCTCCTGAGACAGGACAATTCATATTAGGGTCTGACACTGAGGCCTGCATCTCAAACACCAGGCGTGCAGTCTATTTAAATCCTAATGTACTGTATAAAGCATACCATTCTAGTGATGTAACACACATGGGGGTGTCACTTACAAAATATTCAGAACTTCAAAATTAGAGGTCTACACCCAATGTCTCTCTGCAGTAAGTGATCATATTAAACGAGATGTATGGTTCCTGTTCTTCATCAGGAGTGTATATTCATATTAAGTCTTTCAAAGTACATTATGTTAACCCATGTCCTCTATGGGGGGCAGTGCCTTACTTCTAACGTTCCATCCTTTAAAACCTCATACACAGAGCACTGAGTGCACACACACACGCGCACACGTACAGGGACTACCAGTGAAATGCTAGCAAGGTCACAGGCATCAGCTGTTTTTAGATTTGACAAAACCCTGTGTCAACATCCTCTTTAGAAGGAAAGACATAGTGCACCTGGGAAATGTAGTTCAACATTTGCCACAGCAATCTCAAAAAGTAGAAGGACTTTTTTCAACCTAAAAGGCATGAAAGATCATCTGACTGGACCCAAATAACTTTTTTTTGTCTCATCATCATCCTCATCCATATTTCAGAACTCCACTTCCTGTGACAGCTGTCAGTGTGATGGTGACAGTGTGTCAAAGTGTGTGTTTAAGGAGTTGTCAGAGCATCCTCAGCAGGCTATTTGATATTACATAGTCAAGCATATGGTTTCTTTCACACACACACACACACACACACACACACACACACACACACACACACACACACACACACACACACACACACACACACACACACACACACACACACACACACACACACACACACACACACAGACGCTGTTCTACCTGATCGACACTTGATGATCTCTCCAAACTCGTCCTCCACCGGCTCGTTGCAGTAGTCCTCGGGACGCACACCCTCCGCCATGGATCACAGGGCACCGGGTGTTAAAAGTTACAAGGTGGGGGGGTTATTAACCCACAGGTAAATCCACCAGGAGATGGGGAAAATATCCAAAGTACAAATCCAGAACAAACAGCCAAAAGTTGCCCGATGTGAAGACAGGAGCTCCGGTGGAGGACGAAGGCTGGGTCTCTCTGACAGGCGGGTGGACGGGGCAGAGCAGGTGTTCGGGGGGGGGGGGGCTGGGGGTCGCAGCATTCTCACCTCTAAATAGTAGGATGCTAGGAGGTGGTCTCCTCGGGGCCCAGGCTGGTTCAGAGGACGCCAGGCGTAAAACCCGACACCCGGCGGACACATTGCCGCTGACGCTTGTTTCCGGAAGATGAGCTACATGCTAAAGATCAGAGCGAACCGACCTGGGGTGACCTCTGACCTCAGGTGGTCAGGCGTGGCAACCAGCGTGAACACATGTATATCAAAACACCACGGAATCCAGCTTTAAATGTATGTTATAAATACTCAATTGTTGGAGTCCTGGATTCAACATTTTAATTAAATAAAAATACAAAAATATATTTTAACTACCAAAAGTATCATGTAACACCTGTGTCACGGTGAGTCCTTATGGGTTAAAAGTAATGGCCAATCTTACAATAATAAGATAACTATGATTATTATGCTGTTGCATATATTAACCTATATTTAGCCTATATATGTCAATATGTGTATTCACTAGTTAATTTATATTTTGTATTAGCTAATAAACAACATTTATAAAGTAACTAAGACTGTCAGATACATGTAGTTGAGTAAAAAGTCAAAAATAGGAGTTTGTAAAGGGTATAAAGTAGCAAAACTGGAAATAAGTAACTGTACTTAGTTACTTTCCATCCCTGGTAGTGATTTTAATGTTCATGGATTTCGGTCATAGATTATTCAGTAACAAAGATTTGTACATTAAAAACCAAGCCTGGTATTCTTGAGCTTCAACATGATAAAATGGTTGATATTCACTGTGTGTGTGGGGTGGGGGGGTACAGTGGTTACATGGCAGCACCGTTACACACATACTAATATTAGATTTGCTGATAAACTGATATACCCACTTTGGGTTTCCTGGCTTTTCAAAAGTAGGACTTGGTTACTGTAATGGCTCCATTACGCACATTGGTGCTGCTATTATTAGAGATGATGCTGAGAATGATCCACACACTCCCAGATACACTCAGCCTGCAGGGAGCTGTGAGAGAATGTTCCAGAAACAGAAGGCCCGGCACTGACTGGCATCCCGAGCAGCCGGCTGGGCCCCCTGACTGCTGTCTGGGGTGGGGGGACTGCCCCTCCTGGGCTTGGGGAGGAGATATATTTAGAGGAACACTTGTGCTTTGTTGACATTGCCTTCACTTTCATATTCTGTTGGATAATTACCTTTTTTTCACTCACTCAAAGCCTGGTGCACCTGTAACCACACCCACTTCTGTGATGTCATCATAATGTACATTGCCAGGGATCTTCCAGTACAACAGCAACCTGAAATCTGATGGTCTAACTGCTTTTGAAAATAGAATTAGTGTAACACTGACACTTTTAAATGTCAATAAACGATCACAAAAGGAAGATAAATTAATTCGTTTTTTGTTTCTGAGCTGCCAATCTTCTGCCATTTACTTTGAGTGTTGCATTATGGGAAAATAGTGTTTGTATCCTGAAGTTTTTAAGTAATCTTAATTTAGTGGTTGCACACGGCTACATTCTGAAAATCTGTTTATCTGGGTGGTCATGTCAGAGTGTGGACAGCAGAGGGCAGTATTAGCACAGATTTGACATTACAAGTCTTAACTAGGCCATTGAATCTTGGAAAGATTCAACACTGCTTGATATCATTTTTATCTCAAGTCTTACATCCTTGCAGTGATGTGCAGATGCTCCCTGAGCTCTCAGTACGCCATGGCATCAACAACAAGTTTCCCTCCACCTTTTAAAAAGTGAAAAAGGTAATATATCGATGTGACAAGGTAACACAGTTACTTTATATCCTTGCACCCACTTCTTCTGCTTTAATGGCACCCAACTGAAGAATGAATACCACCACCGGTTTATTTTTAATGCAAGCAAATCCATCAAACAACAGGAATACTTAGAAATATACATACATTTAAAATGTATTTAGCTAATTTGGAGGGAACCTAGTGTTGACTTTGGACATTGAATGCACCAGGTACATCACCATATTAATAAGGATGTATATTCATGGTAAAAAAGAATACAACATATTTAAAAATGTCTATCTTAGTGGTGGTTTTCCTTTTTTCAGAAAAGTCTTATACCTGGAAACTACAGTCTATTATGAAAGGGTTTATTGTGTTGAATTTAGCTTACAACAATCCTGGTTCTGTAAATTATACTAAAAGTTAAATAATCGTTTCAACGCTCAGAGGATGTGACAACAAAATGAGACACAGAGTGATGCGGAGACATTCTGGTTAGTGCTTTAATGTGCCAACGTACAAAGAGATAAATTGATTATTGACATCGCTATAATGGCATCTAAAACATGCCAACACACATGCACACACACACTCTTTCTGTCATTCACACACACTTCCTAAATCCCTATGCACATCATTAGACAGTGTTGTTCTCCATTATACTGGGAGATGAGCGTCTACTTTTCATCAGTAAATGAATAACCAAAGAAATGCTAATAACTACAAGTCAGACCTGGGCTAAAACATACAATCTAATAATGGGTAGAACATATTAAAGGCTAGTTCTGTGTTTGTTCCACAAAGAACAGCACGAATATTATTTTTCACCCTGAACCACATGGAAGTGCTTCATTCAAAATCAAAGCATGTAGGTCATTTTTGAAACTGGTGCAAACATATTTGCTTTGTCATTTAGAATCAGAGACTCAAAACATGCAGCTTTGAGAAGTTAGGGTATGTTTGTTTTATGTAAGTGCTGTAGTATTGTCACTTTGAATCTTGGATACAAGATGTATTAATAACAGCAGATGTATAATGTTCAACTACATGGCAAAATAAAACTGTACATCTTAACTCTGTCTGGGGATTTCTTTCCCTTTGACTGTGTCTAAAGTGAGAATAAAAGTGCTGTAGCATCAGACTGTAAATCAATAGCAGTTTCAGTACATCAAATATCAGTGTTATACCCATGGAAGAGGGCCACATTCTCATTGAGGTCTGAACAATAGTGATTTTTTGGTTTGTTGTGTTCAGATCTAAAACAAATGAACACGTGGCCTCAATTCTCTTCCGTTAAACCAGCGTGAGTTTGAAATGTGAACGTTTAAAATGCGAAGTCCTTCCATTACTGTCACATATGTGGATATTGTAAACGTAAAGTGTTAGTGTATATTTGAACCCAGGTCTGTTACAGTGTTAATGCCGAATGCTTCTCTACTCCACCAAAGCACAGAGACGTTTCTAGGAAGCAAAAACACCGTCACTAATCTGTGATCATTCAGTATTCAATACTGATCAACTGCTGAAATACTGAAGAGCAGGGTCTCATGCTGAAAAGCTGTTATAACTTAAGGAATAAGTGCTTCTGTTTTACTCAGTGCTAAAAAAAAATCCACTTACAAGCAGGAGTTTTTTCTTCCCAGAAGACCCTACTTTCATTTTACATCCACCAGTTGAATACTATGTACTAGAATATACACTGTGAATTTACAGCATGAGGTCTATGGGAGTCTGAACAGGGTTTTAAAGTGAGAGTAAGGGGCTTCAGGCGCCAACACATCCTTTTGGCAAATCAGTTGTTGCTCAAATGAGCTGCTTTTAGAAGCAATGCTGTTGTGGTGACAGGCAGAACTCATCAACAAGGGACAACCGACATCATTGTGGCATTTATATGGAATACATGGACAGCCGCACAGCCCTTCATTTGTTAAAGTGGCGGGGGAGGCGGCCTGGATCCTATCTTTGGGTGATGGTTTCTAGACAGCTCCTCGGAAGAATATGCCACAATGGAGAGCGCAGACAAAATGCCGCTTGAATCTCCGAAATGTCATCTGGAGGAGTCTTATTTTGCATTCGGCTCCCTGTGAAGAATGGAGGTCACGGGTTAGGGAAGTAATTCAGGTAAATCCACAGGAAATGGAAATAGGTTTTTGCACAGTGAAAGCTAAAAAGATGCTTTATCACCTGCTTCTTTGGGAAATAAAATGTGTTTACTTCTCCATCCATATTTAAACTTCAACAATTACATTAATAATGTTATCAGTTTTCTATGAATGTGATTTTAAGTTAGTGCATTTTGACACAACAGTACCACACAATTGCAACTTGTTGGAGCAGAAAGCATAACCAATACAATTATAATGTGTTTTTTTAACAATGAGTTCAGAGCCACACACTCATATAGTTGACTCAGACTGCAGTTGGTCATAAAAAGGAAGTGATTTTGGATTCTGCTCTAAACTCAAATGCCACCATATTGGCTTAAGCTGGCAACTTACATTTATGAAATTAGGTGTTTTTGTGAATTCTCTTCAGCTCAATGCATAATCACATTATTCCACTTTCTTAAACTATTGATGTGCACTCAAGCCCCCCCGCTGGGAGATCTGCCGGTGGTATAGCGGACGCAGTGGAGCCAGACCGAGGAGGACGGATGCTCCCAAAGTCACGGTGTGGACAAACTGGCCTCATTGGGAATCGAACTTTCAGCAGTCGCTTGGAGGCGGCTTTACGCAGGCCCGTCTCACACCTCCGGCCGAGGCTAATCAATCATGACAGCTCCGTGTCGGTTGCCTCGGTTACAGACGACGGTCGATGACAGAATATTGAGCCGGTGTCTTTGTTTTATCATCCACCAATCTGTCTTATGATAAGTTATAATTGTAGATCCTCTTCCGTGTCCTTGTGAAAGTTTACTCCAGATGAAGAAAAAGTGCTAAGCTAATGATGCACTGATGGGACAGGAGGGGGGGTGGGGGGTGGGGGGGGGATGTTAAAACCCCTGGAGGATTGGATGATGACAGGTGAAGATACACGTCCCGTTGCATGTGCATGCGTGCGTGAACGTGCGGGAAAAGCCACTCATGTTTCCTCTACAACAGAATCAATAAGTGGGGCTGATAGTTGCTATCCTTTGTTACTGCAGGTGTAGTATGACCCCTCCCCATGATACATCTGGTGACATTAGGGCTGGTTCCAATATGCAGCCTCACTTCTGTTCACCGAGGCAAGAAAATAAATCCTTGACAACCAGCTTAACCCCTTCAATTGCCCCCAGGGTTCATTGAAATACAGTTATCGGCTCAAAAATGGTTTATAGTACTCGTTACAGTTCATGGGAGATGAGCCGTTTTCCCCCTCGAATACCTTATGTTCTCAGCTGGATTTGGAACTAGTAATACTCCTCGTAGTTCTTGGGGTTCAGGCAGTAGAGGATTCCCCCGCCGAAGGAGAAGATGGTCCCCCCCCAGGCCAGGCCGTAGCCCCAGTTGAACTCGTGGTAGATTCTCAGGTTGATGCTCTGGACGAACTTGATGGGGTAGAGGACCAAGCTGAAGGCCTGCAGGACCACTGGAGGGGACAGGAAGACCATAAGTGTCATTTATTAAAGGAGACATATAATGGACAGAACAAGAATATGTTTACATGCTGTAATGTTAAAAGAAACACATTATTTTTCTCATACTTTCTATCTGTATTGACCTTCTGTCAGAAACACTCTGTTTTAGCGCCTGTCTCTTTAAGGCCCCTCCTGAAAAAGACCACTTCTGATTGGTCAGCTGTACTTTACTTCACATTTGTTAGCAGTCACGTACAAACACTTGAGAAATTCCAGAGAAATAGCAGAAATTAGCATCGACTGAGTCGTGAAGAGCCTCGGGGGAATGTCATTTAGTTCATTTAGCACAGCTTTGAAAAACAAAATAAATCAAACTGGATCAGGCGGGAGGCAAGGAGCAGGGCTGAGGGAGGAGGGAGGAACAGGAGGAAGAGACAGAGGTGGACTACAGGCTCCAAGGACACAGGACGAGTTTGATGAAGAGATGAGGGAAAAGATGGACGAGGGGGGTGAGAGATAGATATATAAAAAGGGAGGGGGGGTTGGATGGCAGTGGAACAAAGGAGAACACATCAATTGTTGTTTCTTCAAAGGGAATTCATCTTGTGGGAACGCAGACAAAAAAACTAAGACGGGATACATAACATCCAAAAACACACGAACATTACCACAGATTGTGTGCAATGCAGCTTTAAAGAAGTAGTTAGTTGTCAAGAAAAGTGTATGTGATCCATCTTTCCCCGAGGGGTCTCTTTAAAGTCCATTCAACACACTTTGCCTCTGTGCTCCGCTTTTCAAATATCTTTTACAGAGGTTGTTTGTGTTCCATCACGGTAAAAACAACTTTATTTTGACAGCTAGTGTTTTTTGTGCGTTTGTTTGTTAGTATTCATAGATTCTATCCCTGTTTTGCTCCCTCTAAAAAGAAGCTGAATGCTTTAAATATTGATTTAATTGCATCAAAGTTAATGCTAATTAAAATCCTTTTCTAAAGTTGTATGATGTGCTTCAAGTTTGTGTCTTATTTTTGTGTTTTTGTGCAGGTTGACATCTGAGAAGCCACTGCAGTAAGGGGCGCTTGTTTTTTCCACCTTCAACCCTGAATATTCAACAATATGAGGAAATGGAAACCCCAAAAATCACAATCGGGACTTTTTAACATATCAATCCTAAGTAACAAATATAAATATGTTTATATCCAATCTGCTTTAAGCATTTTTACTTTGTATAGATGCATTGAAAGTATTTCCAGGATAAGAAGACTCTTTGAGAAATCACACAGCTTCTGAATTTTCCAACACCAGCCCTTTAAATAAGATTGTCTCCTTGTTTTTTTCACTTCAGTGACATTCAGAAGGCAACACATCCAGCTTTGGAAAATCAAACATTTCACGCCTAAAAATAAATACAATTTCCAATTATTCCGGGAGGTTAGAACGCGGAAAAAGGAGGAAACTTGTCAGTCGTCCAACTTGAGATTTGGGCTGGCGGGGGAAATTAAAGGGACAGGCGTGACTCTCTGCTCTGACCCGACTTATAAAAATAGGATTTTCTCTAAATGAGTTTGCAGGAGAGAAAAAAAAGTGTGTGTAAGCCTGACTGTGTGTAGTGCGGTCTGTGTGCACATTTAATAAGTAAGGATTATCATTTAAATGCATGTCAGTTTTCAATGTGATACCATCAACCTTCCTATTACCTTGTCTGAATTGGCTAATTAAGTGTGTAAGTGTGTGTTGTGTCATCAGGTGTGTGTATAATGTGTGTATGGCCTCAGACCCAGACCTGCTGAGTGTGTATTGACAGCAGTTAATTGTGTGTGTGTGTGTGTGTATGTGTGTGTGTGTGTGTGTGTGTGTGTGTGTGTGTGTGTGTGTGTGTGTGTGCACGCGCGTGTGTGTGTGTGTGTGTGTGTGTGTGTGTGTGTGTGTGTGTGTGCGTGCGTGTGTGTGTGTGTGTGTGTGTGTGTGCTGACCTGCAGCGAAAAGCATGGAAGCGACGGGTGCGTAGAATCGTCGTCTCGTGCCGATGCACACGGCAACCAGAGCGACCAGGAATGACATCAGCACCAGGGCTCCACCCCCTAGCAACAGGGCCAGCGTAGCAACCTGCCAGTCTGGAAAGCAGAAGGAGGAGAAAAGACCAAAGGTTAAAGTGATGGATGACAGAGAAATTGGTAAAGAGAAGAAGAACGGGACAAAGTAACACAGGGAACAATCATGAATAAATGCAATATAGTATCAATAAAAATGAAATCACAAGTGGGCCTGGGACGAGAGACAGAGCCACCAGAAACATATCATTTGATTTGACATTTTATAGCACTGCCTTTACCACAAGCCCATCAAGTGTGTTGATTAAATGGAGAACAAAGGAGCAGGTGAGGACAGGAGGAAGGAAGGTATTAAAATGGAAGGCGTAAGGAATTAGGACAATGATGTGAAAGAAGGAGGAAAAGATGATAAAAAAAGGATAGAAAGTTGAAGGAAAGATGGGATAAGGGAGATAAAGAGGGAGGGGGCCGGGTGGGAAAGAGGCAATGAAAAAGAATGATGGTGGAATTAAGGAAGCATGAACACATAAAAGAAAGTGAAGGTAAAAACGGAAAGCAAGGGGACAATTTAAGGGAAGGAAGGAAGGTTGAAGGGAATGAGAGGGATGGGATTCATCAAAGGATATAGCAGGAAGGATGTGAGGATGATGATAGGAGGAGGAAGATGAAGGAAGATGGACTGAAGTTAGGAGAAAGAGAGAATGAAAGAAAGAAAGAAAGAAAAAGGGTGTGATGTCCTTAAGGGAACACTTAGAAGGAGCAAGGACGGAAGAAAAAGACAGGCAGAAGGAAGGGAAGGCAAAAGGAAAGAGGGAAGACATGGAAAAGCAAGGAGTGTTTAAAAAAACAAAGTTAATAATGGATAAAAGTGAGACAAGTTGAAGTGAGATCAGGAGAGGTTTGGTGGCGATGAACCGTCTCTGATAATGCTACAAGGACAGAGGGCAGGATGAAAATAAATGCCAAAAGGAGGTGGAGAAGAGGAGGGGTTGCTGCTTGTGGTGAAGGCCGAGGAGGAAGAGGAGGAGGTGGGGTGGGGTGGGGGGGGGGGGGGGGGGGTTTGGGGCGGCGTGAAGGGGCTGGGGACCGAGCAGCGCTGAGTGAAAGTAATGAAGAGAGGGAGAGAGCACTTAGTATACCTGAGCTGACAAAAAGCCTTGGCGAAAAAGCTTTACTGGCACGTTATCAAAAACCTGTCCGCGTTTATATATAGGGGAGCACTGTGGCGCTGGAATAGCACACACACACACACACACACACACGCACGCACACACACACACACAATGTCACTTTGCTTTTTGTTTGGCCACACAAGAGAGTGTCACAGTGGAATTCCTCTATACAGTATCTTCATTATCACTATAGGGGTATTTACGTCAATTTCAAGGGACGGAGAAATTAGAACTCCCATTAGCAACATTTTGCAAAGCTCTTACACAATGTACGGTACTGTCTTTATTAATACATTTTATTGTGAATTAGAAAAGAATGGTCTCCGGCTCAAGTTAGTGGGCTAAAGTTCACTTGGTTCTCTAAGAAAACAGATCAGTTGGAATGGATGGATTTCACTGTGAAATGTCCCTATTTGCCATGCTGGTGTGACGGCTAGATATAGACACTAGATATAGACGGCTAGATATAGACACTAGATATAGACGGCTATAGACACACATATAGGCTACACACACACACACACACACACACACATATACACACACACACACACACACCTCATCATTAAATCCATCTGGGCTCAGGTGGAGAAAGGAGAATTGGCCATTTCTCTCACCTTCTCTCCCACCTGATGCTGTCAAAGTGGTCATGTAAGCTGCTGTAAAACCTATTTCTGTGCACAGCTGAACTAGGATACGATACATGAGGAAAGACGTTCATAAATAAAGTAACCCGAACTCCTTAAGGAAATACATAAGCTTTAAAGGCTTCAAACTTAAAGATCTGGATCAAACATCAATGGAATGTCTGACGCAGAAATGTAGCTGTCAGTATTGAAGATGTTTAGGTTGTGTAAATATGGTCGGGCGAAATGTACCCCCTTAGTTTGGTAAACAAGCCAATGGAAGATGGAGAATGTGATATTTGGAGGTAGAAGGAGAGGTGAAAGATGAGATGCAGAGGTGGATAGTGGGAGGGAAGGAGGAAATGAAAAGGAGAGAGGAGAAAGTGGGAAGGGAGGAAGAGAGAGAGCAGGAAGAGGAGAGGACAATCAGAAGCATCTTGTAATTCAAATGGAAAGCAACCAGACATTTTCTATTTGACTGATGCTGAGGATCGTCTTCTGGACAAAAAACTATTCAGATGTCTTCAAAATAGTTGCAGGAAATGTTGCCCTCTATAAGCAACACAACAAGGACAGAGGTAGGGAGGCAGAGGGATAAAAAAGGGGCTCAGGTGGGATATCAGTCCTTCGTATTTAACTTTCCTCGAAGCCTAGAGCTGCTTCAATCTGGGGAAGCAGCCACAACCAATCAAATGTCAGCATGAAAGTGGAAGGAATCCAATAACCAATCAGTTGTGACAACACATGTGTTCCTACTTTAGTGAGATTCACATTTCTCTCAGACACCCTGAGGCAGAATTGGCTTTTTTTTATACGTGTTTCATGTAAGATTTGCAGGAAAAAGGAGGCTAGCTTAGTTAGCCTAGCTCGTCAGTATCAACCAAGATCTTCCTAATTTGAATGTAAAGACACATACTGTTGCTAAAATAATTACATGAACCTCACCCCCTCTTTCTGGCTCACGCACACACATGCACAAAATGGCTTTAACCATAAAACTCTTTGCAGTTTAGCTCTCATACACATACAATATGCAAAGCCTTTCCTCCCTGTCTCTCTCTTCCACACATGGCTGGTTTGAAGTTTTAAAAATGTATCACGGGGGACATATAGGAACCGTACAATTTGTCACATGTACCGTATCAAACCTCGTTCTTTCTCACACACACATACACTGGTTGGGGTATGTAGCTTTCTAATTAGTGCCTGCACCAGCTTCTCACACACAGCGAGCTGTTCTCACTCGCAGGGAGAAATACCTCGTGCTGTAATGTGACTGTTTGTCATGTGACAGGGTTACTGTCACATTCTCTCTTTACTGTAAAGAACTGCAAAACAACCAACAACCAGTACATGTAAAGCAAAAATAATCCAGTGTGATTCCAAGTGAACATTGCAGATACAAATTCAAAAACAAGGAAATGATTTAAAAGATATATAATAAATCAAAGTTACAGTTGTGTTCTTGTTTAAGTGTCCAACAAGTAACATGGTGTTTATGTGCTGCTGTGCTGCTGCTGCTGCTCTGCTGCGATACTGTAGCTGCTTTGAAGCTTGATTTGCATCCACCAAAAGGATTTGATGTGTTTGGGCACATGCATACCCCTTTCTCCACCATGCCCCCAGTGTGTGTGTGTGTGTGTGTGTGTGTGTGTGTGTGTGTGTGTGTGTGTGTGTGTGTGTGTGTGTGTGTGTGTGTGTGTGTGTGTGTATGTGTGTGTGTGTTGTGGTTATTCCCCTATCTGTCTGTCTGTCTGTCTGCCTGCCACATAATTTCCCATTCCTCGTCCTGCTGCTACAAATAGAACGGGGTCTCGGGGGGCTCCACTCACTGAGAGGAGCGATGGAGTCAGAGGAGATGAGGGGGAGAGAAAGGAGGGAGTGGGGGTGAGGGAGGAGAGAAGAAGAAAAAAGGGGGAGAGACTTGATCCTGGAGAAAATGGATAGAGGGACATAGAGGATGGTGAAAATCCAAAGGGGAGAAATGAATTGGGAGGAGGTTTGAGTATTACAAATGGGACAATACATTTGAGAGTGCAGACGGAAAGGGCCTGGCGAGTAAAAGGGAGGGACGGATCGATGGACTGATAGAGAAAGATGAGAGGGGCAGACGGGAGGAGGCAGCGTTAATGGAGGATGTAGGCGACTGATCTCAGATCTGTGACAACAAAGACTGGTCAGAAATGACATCACTGTACACAAAATGTGTCGACATTCAGTACATCTTTTGGGATTTGATCATTAATAAATCAAATGGCTTTTATGCTGGGAAATCTCATACATTTAAAAATTGTTAAACAAAGTGTAAGAAATTAGAAGCATGTTATGGTTTCCTCGCTTTAAGTAATGGTTTCTCCTGCAATCCCAACAGTGGTCCTGGTTCATCTTCTCTCAAGGTCAGGTGAATGACACAGCTGTCGGTAGCAACAGCTATCTTTTGTTCCCTGAAATGGATTTTGCTTTGGTTTTATTTAACGCTATTGCTGTTGCATTTTTAAACCTGAAACAGATATGTTTGTTCATGAGATTGAGCGTGACATTTAGGTGGAGGCTGAGCCAGACAGGAGGAGATGAGGGGGGAGGAAAAGGAGGAAGAAAGTAGGTTGGCTGCTAGGTGTAACTTCTAGCAACAGTGTGTGTGTGTGTGTGTGTGTGTGTGTGTGTGTGTGTGTGTGTGTGTGTGTGTGTGTGTGTGTGTGCCCACTTTAAGATTTTTCATCTGAAGCCGTGTTCTATTTGTCAAATATGACGGCATTCGACTCGAGGATTTCTGTGTGGCGCTGATTTGATCTCACACGCTGCTGGTGATTGAAGTGTCTGTCGGCCACTGCCATCAGTATCACACATCCTGACGTAACGTCGCTTCATCTATCGGTTAAAGTGATGGCCTTTTTGTCAGAGTGGCACATAAATGTTGCATGGCTTTATTCAGATATGACATTTATAGAAAGTGGCGCTGCTGGAGAAGTGAGCTTGAGGAAGAAAAGAGATTTCATCAACATGAAAGCTGTAATTATGACTGGGAAAATCCACATATTTTAGCAGAAGCTCCAAAATAATACCTATTATCATTCCACCTGCATCAGTTAGCAATGAAACTCATATTTTAATTGCTACAGCTGGTCTTTTTCAGCAGTTCTGCAGAGTCAGATGTTTCCGTTATGCCTTTGTTTTCCATCCCACTCTAATTAATCAGCGGCTATGCTGTGCATGTTGTAAACTGAACATTTCTCACTCTGATGGAGGTGTTACGATCTGTGTGCACACATTACATCTGATGCTTGTTGTTGGGGGCGAAGCATTTGTGTAAAGCTTGTTGGTGTTCCCTTGGGTATTGAGAGGACCATATAAGCCCGTTTAATAAAAAAAAAATTAAGATCAGTGTGTGTGCGTGTGTGTGTGTGTGCGTGTGTGTGTGTGTGTGTGTGTGTGTGTGTGTGTGTGTGTGTGTGTGTGTGTTGGCAAAGCTCACACACATGTTGGACACACACACCTGTCGCGCCATGACATCTAATTAGGGAGTCTCTGTCTGGAGGCTGGATGTGTATGAATATATGCGAGAAGGAACAAAGAAAGAGAGGAACTGATTAAAGTTGTGGTCACAAAATGTGTCAGGGAGCGTCTGTGTGTGTGTGTGTGTGCGTGTGTGTGCGTGTGTGTGCGTGCGTGCGTGCGTGCGTGTGTGTGTGTGTGTGTGCGTGTGTGTGTGTGTGTGCGTGCGTGTGCGTGTGTGTGTGTGAGCAACAACAGAGAAATCAGAGTGTGACATGAAATATTCAGCTGGGCTTCAGAGGAGACTGTCCAGAAATAGGTCAGCTCGACGTGGGAGCCTCTTATTGGCGCACACACACACACACACACACACACACACACACACACACACACACACACACACACACACACACACACACACACACACACACACACACACACACTACAGACTCCCTTTCTGTCACACGCACACAAATCATGATCTATGATACTCGATAGATAGATAGATAGATAGATAGATAGATAGATAGATAGATAGATAGATAGATAGATAGATAGATAGATAGATAGATAGATAGATAGATAGATAGATAGATAGATAGATAGATAGATAGATAGATAGATAGATAGATAGATAGGTAGATAGATAGATAGATAGATAGGTAGGTAGGTAGATAGATAGATAGACAGATATATATATAGATAGATTCTTTAAATGTAAGTAATTTTGTGAAGTAAATTTTAGCAATATATAGATAGATGGAGTCTGTCACCATCTGACAGTTTAAAGACCTCTTAAAGTGATTCCATTGTTAATGCCCCCCAGTGTAATGAGCTTTATCAGCGCCAGAGTCTCAGTGGCAGTAAACAAAGACACTTTCACCTCAATTTAAGTAGTGCTCGTGAACTCTTGTTTCCCTGGAAACCAATCCAACTTCCAAAGATAAACCCCGCCCCAAAAACTGCAAGCCCTCTCCTGGGTGTGACAACAAGGACGATTCCTCCTCAACAAAAGAATCATGAGGGTACAAAAGTAAGTGATATTGAAACGGGATGAGCCAGCACATTTATTTCCCCCCTTCTCCTGCTCTGACGAATGAATGAATACGTGCAGGTAGGTGGTCACACCCAGGGGAGCCGATGAAGTTGGTGGCAGTTTTGCTGCATTGATATTATGGTGATGATCATTGCAAAAACAGGACGAATACGTTATAGCTCTTAGCAGCATTCAATTGACTTTTATTTCCCTTAGAAGGGCCAAAAAGTATTATTATTATCCTCTTTTAGACATGATAACAGAGAAATGCTCTATTATCATTACATTTTAACATAAAATAAAACAAAAGATGTATTTGAAGGGTTGCAACTAACTTTCTTTTTGAATCACTTTATTAAATTCCATCTTAAAATGACTTATTATCAAAAGGTATTCACTTTAATATTATGGAATAGAATGAAAAAATGACATTTTAAAGCATTTTTGATCTAATAAATGACCAAAATTATCAATAGATGATCAAAAGTGCCTCTTTATGAATGTTAATAATTGTTTCAGCTCTAATGCATCAATACAAAAAAACATTAACAGGGTTAGTGTTTACTACACGTTTGTGTTTTCAAAATGTCACGTCTGCTTTTAGGAGGAGGGGTGAGAAGGAATGCCAATGTGAACAGAATCCTTTGGTGCAGGTTTAACAAACGGCAATCCTTATTTTTTAAATGTATGACCCATTTTTCCTTCAAAAAGCAGAAATAATATTACAAATCACAATGAATGTAAATCTTTTGGAAGTTAATTCCAGCCTGCATAATTTCTTCATCTCAACTCCACAATAATTAGTGTGGCTATCCCAGTGGAGTCACAGTATGAGGCTTTGGATAGAGACAGTAATAGTCATACACTTATTATATCTTTGGGCATGTTGAGGAAGCATCCCTTAATCATGTCATGAGATCAACTCTTTGTTCTCTACCATACAAACAGCTCCTGATAATGCATAATAGAAGACACCTGGTAATAACCGGGTGTCTAATAATATAATAATAATTTATCCATAAGCCCTAAATCCTGATTTACCTGAGACCAGCGTGCTGCTGCACTGCCAGTTGTCGGTGCTGGCAGGCTTCCAGCAGGACTCCCACAGGGACAGGTAGTACTGGTCGTCGGCAGTCACCCACGCGGGGCTCATCACGGCACCCACATCCAGGCAGAGCGCGAGGAAGACGCACACCAGCCCGACCAGCTTCAGCGGCGTGATCGGTGAGCTGCGCGCCGAATCCTCCGTCTCGGTGACCGCAGAAGACATAGCGCGGAGGAGAAGGGGACCGCTTCAGAAACAGGGGAGAGAGCCGGTGTGTGGATGTACTCCTTCCTTCCTGATGATGATGGATGCGAGTGGTGTTGTTGCCGCTGCTGGTGGACCCGCAGCCGCCTGCGTTGCGCGCTGGTCGGACGCTGTGCCTATGGGCACCGCTCCGCCGCGCACCGGAGATCTCCCCGTTTACCGCGCTGACGTCAAGGCTCCGAGGGATCAGCAGGTGCCACAGGGTCCTAAAGAGAGAGAGGCGAGAGAAGAGCCCCTAACTCAGGACTGGAGATGTTGGGAACACTGAGAACCTGAGACCAAATTCATAGAGACTTGGAGCCATTTACCAAACTCTGTGCACATCAGAAACAACTTTATTAGGTTTACACATACAAGGAATTTGCAAGATGCATTGTAAGAAAAGCACCACACTACTATTATAACAGAGAGATATAGAGCAATATGTACATGAAATACCAACACAACTACGTAGCCTACAGTATGATTTGACAAGATCATTTTGTGAATATTTGCCAAAATTTGTCTTATTCATTGCTATACAATGTGTTAATTAGGCTACACCCCCCTTCTTTATAGCCAATGTTTTTAAGCTATTCTACAATGTAAATGTATTTTACTAGGGCAATTCTAATTCTAATCAAATTTTCCCCAACTTTAGTTATGTTGCTGTAGTGGATTTTGCCTGCAACACATTTTTAAATATGCCTATCAACTCTTAGAAATACCCATCCAGACATTTTCAAATCCATTATAGTTGGGGTATGTAATTTATTTCAGAAACACTTTTTGTTATATTCCATGGAATGCTGTTAACATCCCGATAGCAGTGAATATATTAAATGCTTTGACAATAAATATATTAAAACATTTCTATATATATATATATATCAAAATCGATCAATCTAATAATGAGTAGATGAATACTAATGTACTAAACTTGTCTTGTCCAGAAATATTACTGAGGTCATGAACACATCCAATATATCTAGAAAAAGTTTGGTAGCCAATATGTTGTATTGCTTATCAATGAACCTTTTGTTTGTAAGAATATCAACAATGTCATGTTTCATAGTCTTGCTTTAAAGTCCACTTGCTTTATTAGAATGCATAAAAAAGGATGACATCATCACTTAACAAAAAATCCCCAATTGATCGTTAGACATTATTTAAAAAAAGCCCTTAAAACCTTAATTTATGACTTAATAAAACAGAGTTTGGATTCATTACTAGATTAGGCATTGGGTTCTTGCATTAGAGGAAGAAGCAAAGACAGAAATGGAGGGCAGAGTGATGGAGGAAGTGGGAGGCACATGAAGGAATATTATTGTTTCTCCTCCTCTGCATACTAATGCAAAGCCAGATATGAGACGGAGAGAGACAGGAGGGGGGAGGAAGGGGAGGCAGAGGTGAGCAGGTTTAGGGAGGAAGAGCCGTCCATGTGTTTATTGAGGCGGAGAGAAAGGAAGGATGGAGAGAACGATGGAAGGAAAAGATGGCCTTGTTTACTCTCCATCAGGGCCGTAATGAGCGATGATGAGGAGGAGACAGGGGGAGGCAGGGGAGAAGAGAGGGAAGGGCAACAGATAGAGGTGAGATAGACGGAGGGATGGCAGCCTGGAGGAATAAAGGTAGAGCTCTTAATGAATAGACTTACTGTTGATCAGTTTTTAATAAGAGCGCTTAATGAGGAAATACTTCCACACCGCCACATCATCTGCATACATTTACTCTTATCAACAAAGTGAAACTGCAGACATATTAGTGAGTAATAAAGGAACCAGTAAGAGTCAAGGAAGGCTAGTGATATTATTTGTTTATGTATTATAAATTCCCCGCAAGGAAGATTAAAAAGCGATGGAGTAAAGGAAAAAGCAAAAGCATTTACTGGAAACATAATGCAACTTTATCAAGGACAAGTTTAATTTAATCTCACTTGGGGGATACGTAGTATGATCTTCTGCGGATTGTAGCGGGATCAATACTTCAGGGACAGTGGAAGATGTTCAGTGGAGTTTCATTTTAGGTTTTCAGACCTAAATGTGTCAAGTTCTCAAGGCAGAGAAAATGCTTACATTTGTATTTTGGGAAATCGGCTCAGTTTAAAATCCAATGTGTAAGATATGGCAGATTTAAAATGTAACTAAATACATAATAATAACTTTATTACCAGGATGTGAAGTGCTGACATTATGTCAAAGAAGTCTGTATTGTGTTGCAAAGGATATCTACTGAAAGTAGCATGCTAACTGGATATAATTAGCATATCTTGAAAATAGAATTGAATAACTCAGAAAAAAGTAACTTTTCTTGACATATAGATAAAGTTTTGTCTCAATATATGCAACTTCATGGCTGCAGAGTGATGAAAGCAATCAACAAATGGAAGGATGTATTATTAATGCCCGGTAGTTGCCTTCCAATCCAAATCATTTGAATGTGCATTTGCTGGGAAGACAATACAGATGGGCGATGAAGATAAGTGAAGTGAGTGAGACTGAGTTCCTCTTCATGATCATCTGAGATTATGGTCTGGTGCTGCTGTAGAACGTCACTCTTTTGTCTTCTTCCTGACCGTCTGTGAAGAGGCGTGTAAGAGGGTTGGGAGGTCAAGTTAATAAACTATTAAAAAAAAGGGACTTCAAAAAACGTTAGAAGTGCTCACCTGTCAAACAGATGAAGTAAAGGTGATCTCCACATGGGAAATCCGTCCAATGGAAGGGGTCGCTGGTGTCGACGCCCCCACAGGGACTGGAGATTTGCGAGGGGGAATGTGTCTTCCAGTAGCTGTAGTTTACTGAGGCGCCAGACATCCAAAACCAAATGCTATCCATCAGGTACCTAAAAGTGATGATATTTGAACTTTAAACGTAAAGATTTTTGAGAGAGATTCATATGGAGGGCTAATGATTTTATACAATGTTCCTGAATAGTATACAATGGCTTGGTTTACCTTTACATAGTCATTTTAATATATAAAAATGGAGAAAGAGAGAGGTAGGCAATATGCATTATAGTATTTTACTACACAGTCTATGTTACTGTTAAAGATTCCTCACAATCATTAAGTGTTTTTACAAAAAATGAAAGATGAGAGAATCCACCTTTGATGAAGTGGCCCTTGTTATTAGACAGTACCTGCGCAGTCCCACCCAAACATGCGGTGTGAGGAGGAAGGAGGTGGTTCTCAGCACCTCCTCCACCTCCTTCTGCTCCTCCTCACTGCGGATGCTGAGCAGGTCCCAGTAGAAGTCTCTGCAGTAGAACAGAGCATCCGACCAGCACAGCTTCTTCTCCACCACCACTATACGCCGGCCCAACACCACCGCACTGAAGGAGGGCGAGGGAGGAGCCAGCTCTGGGAAATGTGAGCAAAAGTTCAGGTAGTTTGGAGATTCAGGAGGAGATTTATGGACTAAATGTCATGTGTTCTTGACTTACCTCCATACACTTCCACCTCACACAATGTCAATACTCCGTGAGGGTGATTGAGACTAATTCTGACCAAACGACCTATCATCCCTCCGCAGTCGAAAGTGCGAGTACCTCCAGCTGGTATGGATGTAACAACAGCACAACTGAAAAACAGACAACACGGGAATTAAAGCATCATCTGTTCTTTATAAACATGGTTGGTACATTGAGTGGGAAAAAGTTAGTGGGAGAAAACAGCTTATGCTGACCACTTTTTGGAAGTGGAAATGTGAGCACAAGGACAGGGAAATGTTTATTGTTCTCGAGGATTACATTGGGTTGTCGCTTCCGTTGTCCTTTGTTGAATTCCCAATACGGATCTCAGCAGAATCGAGCCGTTTAGGATAAGCAATTCTGCCGGTGATGCTAACAGATGTGATATTATACACGGCCGGCAGGAGCAATTTCCACCAGAGGTTCTCTCCTGTATACGCTGTATGGGTGCAGGATCCAGCCGAGAAATATGGGTTACTGTCTCCATCGATGGCTTTGGAAGCAACACCACCCTTCTCACGTGTCGAGACTTGAGATGCGGTTCCACTGGGAGCCACGTTTGGCAAAGAGGAAGCTTGGTGGTGACAAAAAACAAACAGAAAAACTCTTGCACAATCCTTCCATCTCCATTTTTGAAAAACAATGTGTAGACTCCAGTATACAGTGTGGTTGTTGCAATAGAAATTATCAAGAAACACATATCTATTAACAACCCTGAAATGTGTTTAACAATTAAGTAATACAGTATTTTCTTATCATGCAATTGTATAATTGACTTTTTAAGACTTTTTTCACAAAACACCATACAACAATTTGTGTAGAAAACACATAAATCAGCAGGATCTTACCTGTGAAGTCAGGAAGGAGGCACAACACGAGCACAAGCCCTTTGAAATGAAAAGGATTCATCATTTACAACAAGGAGCTTTTGATGCGCTTCTCAAGGAAGGACCGACCAGATACAGCACACAGTTCAAGTGTGCATTGTGAAGGTTGATTTATAAAGCAACCTGTCAAACTGGTCACTGTGTGATGAGGTCAGCAGTGTCAGGTAAACAGTGACATTTGATAGCTTTGAAACGTCATATTCAAATGAATTAAAATCCTGTCAATGCAAATACACGTAGATCTGTAAATCTTCTAATCCTAGATACTTTCATGTGGGAACATTTTGAATTCAGTAGGAAAATGTATGTACTTGTTTTGAGTTTCAAGAACTTGATGGAAATGTTCACTTTTAGGTCAAATATCTGTGACCTTCCAATTGGAATTACATTGTCAAAATAGAAACAATAAAACTACTTTAACAGTTTGCTGTTATATTCTTTACTAGTGTTTTCAGTTGTGTAGGTACACTAGTCAGTCTATACTATCTTCTAAACTCATGCACACACAATCATTATATCATCAAATTATGATAATAGTATTTTTTTTAATGAAATGAGAACATTTCTGAGACACCATTTGAAGAATTTGAAACACACTTAAAAAACACAATATTTTAGAAGGTAAAGTCTAAATTATTTTGAAACCCAAATGTGTTTAGGGGCCTTAAATCTGTTAAAAAGCTAAAAACAGTCAACTGTATAGGAACAACAGGTGCAAAGTCAGCACTTTACACTCATACTGTTAGAAATGTCAACGCTGATTAATGTGCGTTCACTGACATTTGATCTGGCTCCCCAGGACACTAAGTATTAACCAGACATTTTCATTATTTGCATATCCCCCCGCTGTGTGAGGTGAGGTGGCTTTATTCTTCCAAATATGTTTACTACAAGAAATAAATAGATTAGAAAAGTTCTTATTGTAACTGTACACTTTGTAAGTAACCTATACTGTTTGTGTGTCCAATGGAGGCGTTCAGGCAGGGTGTGGGAGAGTAACCTCTGGAGGTCACTTTGGGATTTTAGCCTTTGCATACTATTTACATGCATACAAAACTATATAAGACACTACAGGAAAGTAAAAACCCTAAAAAGCATACTAGCGCCCCTTTAATTCAGCTCAGACTATCCTGATGTAGCTATTCATTCCTAAATAAACGTTTCGCCCTGGTGAGGATAACTACAATTTTGCATCTAAACGGCGTTAAAATAAAGACAAAATCTTCGCAAGGTTTTTAATTTTCTTTCTGCCGTGTGTGATGATGGGTAATTATTATGTCTGCTCATTAGCATATTTCATATTTTGCATGCTTCCTGAGAACACACACTATGAACAACAAACAACAATGGCTCATCATTCAGCAAGATTAGCACGCATCAGTCAGCGTAAGAGCTTCACATTTACAAACACATTTACATGAGTACACTCTCACACAATCTGTCAAGTCATCAAAGCTGCTTCCAAATGTGTCACACAGCGCTCCGACAAACACACAAACACATGCCTCCTGTCCTTCTCGCACAAGTTCTGCTTTGGAGGATGCAGACAGAATGATAACTCGTACAATCGTCAGCCGCATGAAATATGTAAAGATGTCTCTCACACACACACACTCGCACACAGAGGTGATGATTCCTTATGTGTCAGAGTTTTCAGGCAGCAAAAAGGGGAGAAGATGAAAGCGGGGTTGAGCAGCTTGTTCTTTCTCCCCGTCTCTTCTGTCATGTTCACCGGAGGGAGTTTTGATAGGTGCAAACACACACACACACACACTCTTGCTCGGAGGCACACACACATGCAGTGTTGGTGGAGAAGTGCCGCAGCAATAATTAGATTTCACTTCAAAGAGCCACAAAGTTTTTTTCTGAGGGAGACGGGCCTGATGTGTGATTGGCTACTCAGGCTAGCAGGTGAGGGACTGCTACGGGATACCAGACCCCTCTCCGCTGGTTTTGTTTCAATATCATGCGTCAATTCGCTGTTTTTCTTCTGGCATAAGCCACATAATAACGGTAGCGGTAATAGTAATTATCAATCTCGAAACCATTAAGCCACTGATCTGATGACGATTGGCCTCTGGGGGTCACGTCATCTATTCAAGGATTGCACAGATTTGCAATTTCGGTAGCTTAGTCCATTATGCTACACAAGAACAAACCAAAACATCCTTTGGATTTGCATACGGGTCAAAAAGTCTGGGGTTCCGGTGTTGCGAGCTGCTCATACATCGTCTATGCCTGAAATGTTTGACAAGTAGCCAGCTTACAAGCTAATTTTAAGCTTATACTAAGCCTAATTGTTGTCATTCATATGCAGAATCTGTCTATCAAGATTAGCTACATATTAGCCTTGTGCAACAATTAAAGCAACCACAGCCTGGGACAAAGTTGGACCATAAGGGCACTACACTGGCAGTACAGCAGTGAAAAGTGGTACCTGTCGATGGAGCAGAAGTGACAAGCTGCCACGTTGAAAAATGGAATCTGTCACAAGTGAAGGAGTGACATGCAGGTTATACTGCGAGTGCCAAAGCTAGTAGAACAGTACAGTCATCAACAGAGACATGCATTTTAGGTTTGGCATATGCCACAAAAATAATAGCATACATCAGCCAATGTCCATTGTGGATGCTGCAATTCTTCAGTTCAGAAGCTGTTTACTAGGCACGGAGGAGAAAGAGACTATGGATTTGTCTTATGGGAAATGTATTACTAAATGCAGGAATGACTCTTTAAGTTATTTCCTGTTATTTATATTTCCTGACTTAACTTACTGGCAGTGACCAAGTTTCTTTTGATGAATCAGTGAATAATCTAAAATTGTAGGTCCTCTTAAATGAAATGGAGTATTGTGCAAGCTGATACTTATTATAACAACGTTATACAGTTACTGTTAAAGCAAACTTACTGTCAAAACGACACACTTTCTCTCACACACAAACAAACACACACTTCTCTTCTACTGGCAGGCCGTCAAATCATTTTGTGTGCATTTCAGGGAGAAGCGGCCCCTGCTTAATTACCGCCATGCTAATTGAATCCCAGTGTGAGTGATGTATGGGGATAGGCTGTCTGTGACAGAATGAAAATGAAATAGTATTAAGCAGCCAAGCAGATAATCCAGTTAGGAATGTCTGGAACACGAGGAGGATTAGTCAATGCAGCGCCATATGGCTCCCTGTCAGAGCACATCAAAGTTGTTTGAAATCTAAAATATTTTCATTCTCAGACTCTCTGTCCTTAAAAAATAAGTCTCTGACAAACTTAATAAACATGCCCATGGCACATCTTAACGTTTTGTCAGTCTGTGGAGCATGCTTTATTTAAATTGAATATTTTTCTTAAGTTTTAACAGAGCTTCTGTGAGTCCAGTGAAAACACTTGGACTGGCTTTTTTTTTTGCAAACATATCCATAAGCATGATTGCTACAATTGCTACAAACGTGGGTCATGTAAGCTTAAATCTCAATGCAGCATTTGTTGGCTGTCACAGAGTAGTGACAGAAATGTCTTATGTAACTTGTCAAAGCAAAAAGACCCTTCAAAGTATGATGCAGTCATTCAATGCAGTGACTTGAAGAGGCCCTACTGTGCTTTCTGGGGTTTTCCCTTTCCTTGAATGTGTTGTATAGCTTTTGTGCATTTCAATTATGACAACACATTTATTAAAAGCACATTTTTTCCAAGAAAATAATCCTAATGAGTGACCTTGTTCTCTCCACAAAAAAGGGTTTCTTTCTCAACCTTGTGGAAGTAAAATGCAGCTTTGCTAAAGTGATGATTTCAGGTCTGCCCCAACCGACAATTTGACAGTAATGGCTTTGTGAAGGTGAGCAAGGAGTCAGGGTTAAATCTTCTCTGTCGAGTTCCCTTTTACACAACCATTCCTGTCAGTTTCTATTCCACAAAGCAAGTTCAACAATGTGAATGTCTTCAAGGAGTTTTGCTGCATATTTAACGATCCCATCTCCCCCTCTCTATGACCCCAAGTGTCACTGAAAGGAGCATTAGGCATTGGGGGAGAATATCATATATTTTTCATAGAAAGGGCTAACAGTCCACAGACTGTGTGCAACGTCCAACATCGCTTCACTTGCCATCCTGCGCATTATTATGCAAAATGCAGCACTACCATAGCCAGTGGGCTGACAGGGATAATTTCACTAATGTATGCACATTTATTGTATGAATGTGGCTTGCTGCCAGTATTTACTTTTTAGCTTTGTGGTAAATAACATCTAACTTAAACTATTTATTTTGGTCTAAATCATTAGGATGATGCTTCAGAGAGCCAGAGTCTAGACATAACACTGTTCATTTGCCACAAACATTGCTGCAAACACCAGCTCAAGAGGAACAAATGAATACATGTCTTTTATCTCTGCACAGCTGTTAATCAGTGTTACAAACTTCAGAAAAGTTATAACCTTAAAGTTATTTATATAGAAAACGTCATGTGGGTTGGTGCAGAGGTCAGTGGATCTGCATGGTTCCAGATTGGTGTCAGCACGTGGTGGCTTCTCATTATAATGTCCTTGTTGTGAGTCTCACTTCTGTGTGATCTCTTGCTACTGCAGGCAGCATTACAGACCCTCCACCAATTATTGTTGGCTTGGCTCATCTGTTGCTGGGGCAACGCAGAGGAACGTGTGGCGGCGAGCTCATCCCCGCAGGTAATCTATGGACAGAAATCAACCGCCGCACAGCTTCACACGATATGCAAAACCTTCGACCTACCTACCTTTTACTGTTCACTTTATCTGCTGCTGTTTGTTTTGTCTCTTCCAAACCCTTCCATCATCTCGGACCCCACCCCTTGTGTACTTTATTCCACCATCTTCTATTCTTTGCTCCCTTCCTTTATATTTCCTGTCCCCTCTCATCTCTCTCCATGAGGCTTCCTATCTTTCTCTCTCTTCCTCTCTTTCCTCCCCAGCAGGCTGCAGATGGTGCTTAATGGACACATAACTGAGCGTAACTGCCTCGTGAATAATTTCAAAGGCACAAGGTGAGCCATAGGACAGCTCCATATAGGGACATACAGGGAGGGAAGCGTGCACAGA